AACCTCACAAGTGAGTCACTACCACTCACAACTCCATGGAGGAAGGAGTTGCGGATCATGACTCCTTGCAGGGGCCCAGGGCCAAGCCGGCAAAAATCGAGACCATGTACCAAACTCTAAAACATGGTCTACATCCCTAAAAAATAAGACTATAAATAAAATATATGATATATATCACAATAAGATATATCAAAAAACGTATCCTATTCAACTTCTGCTTTCATATATGGCTCTGTTCGGCAGGACTTATAAGCCGGCTGAAAAGCTGAAACGGCTGATTTGTTGTGAGAGAAAAACACTGTTACGTGGCTGATAAGCCGGTTGATAAGCTGAAGCGAACAGAGCCATAATCTTTAATTGAAGTGCTTCATTTTTTAGTGTTCCTTGAAATGAAATTTTCAATGATGTGCTCATAATCAATCTTCTCCAGCAATTCACTCTCAAGTGCTATTGTGGCCAAATCATTAAGTCTTTGTTGTGTCATTGTCGAACGCAAATATGACTTCAATAGTTTCAATTTAGAAAAGCTTCGCTCTGCCGATACAACGGTCACAGGAATGGTCAACAGAACTCTATATGCTTGCATTGGGAAAATAGTCATGCCGCTTTAGGAACTTTAGAATTTCAAAAGGACCCATATTTTCTTTAGGAATGAAATCTTGAAGAAACTTCAACTCCACATACAAATCATTGACATCAACATCATATTTTCCATCTTTTTGTAAGGACAGCCCCAAGATTATCATAAGAAGATTTCAAACTCGTGTCATCCAATGACTGTAATGTTTCAGAGGTAAATAAGAAACCAAAATTTTGTTGGTAACTCTGGTATTGTTCAAATCTTGTTGTAAGTGAGGAAATTGCTTGATCAACAACAAGTAAAAAATAGCTGATTCTAAATAGGTCCTCTGCAGACTGTGTAGCAGCATTTGTGTCATCTAGGTTCTCATCAAAATGTCTCTTTCTTTTAATTTCTTTTCTTTTACGAAACGTTGTACCAATATCCATCTCAAGTGCAATTCCTTTGACAATCTCTAATGCTTCTAAGAAACCAGTTTCCCTATAACCCTTGAAGAAAGAAATCAACCCTTTCACTTTCTCAATAGCAACATCAATAAGCATATCCTTTGCCTGCAAGTGTTTGCTTACTAAATTAACGGCATATAATACCTCATACCAAATGACTATTACCACTATAAATTCATAATCTCCAAGTTCATTGTTTGCCAAGCCCTTAGCCTCACTGCTTGTTTTTGGATCATTATCAACATCAAATACCTGAAATTGAAACGAAGAAAATATGTGTTATAGTTGGAGATAGCCAAAATAAGTACATCATTATCAAATATTAATACAACAATATTGGGTACCTGAAGTAGAGCCTCTCGAATGTCTGTGCACTGAAATCTAATAGCTTTAACACTTTCAACATGACTCTCCCAACGTGTAGCTGATACTGACTTGAGAGTCAATCCTGATATGTTATCTTTCAGAATCTACCATTTCTTAGTAGAATTAGCAAAAGTTATATAGATGATGATTTCAAAGAAATCCTTAGCTTTACCACAAGTCTTAGCCATATCACAAAGTGTTAAATTAAGGCTATGGCAACCACAACCAGAATAGAAAGCACAAGGATTTACATCCAAAAGTTTCTTTTTTACCCTTTTATGTTTTCCTTTCATATTTGACCCATTGTCATAACCTTGTCCTCTCACATCATCTATATCAAGACCAAGGAGCTTTAGTTCATTCTCTAGCACATCAAAAAGTCCTTGCCCAGTTGTATCGTTGACATCCAAAAATCCTAGAAAGTATTCTTCTATGCGAACATCACTTGAAGATGAGTCAACGTATCTTATAATTAAAGACATTTGTTCTTGGTGGCTTGCTTCAGGAGTACAATCAAGTATGACAGAGAAGTACTTTGCACTCTTTATTTTCTTAATAATTTCATACTTAATAGTAGAAGCAAGCAAGTGTATCAACTCATTCTGAATCTTAAAATCAAGATAATGAGCTTGAGTTTCCTCACTTGTAATACGACGAACATGTTCTTGAATAGTTGGGTCAAATTCAGCCAACATCTCTACCAATCCCAAGAAATTCCCATTGCTATCTTTATACAGTTTGTTATTAGTCCCACGAAAAGCTAGATTATGCTTGGCAAGAAATTTAACAATGCAAACAATTCTGAACAAAACTTTTCTCTAATGGTCCTTTTCTTTCTCGAGTTGTCGTTGAGCGGCTTTATCAATAGTTTGATCCTTTTGCAATCTACTACGCAACTCATACCAAGTTGTCATACTCAAAACATGATTTGGACTTGTCTCATGCTCTTTAAGTCTAATACCAAAATGTATCCAATCATTAAACCCCTCATTTGTCAACTGACCTTTTCGATGGCCTTTTGTAAATAATTTACAACCAAAGCAAAAGACCCTATCGAGTTCCTTAGAATAGACAAGCCAATCCCTATCACAATGCTCTCCATTTGATAAAATTCTTATATAGAATAGTGCATAAAACCTTCTAGAATATCTATCCTTAGGACCTTTCTGAATTGATAAATCTCTTCTAGGGTCCTTCTGTGCGAAAATATCAATTTGTTTATAATCAAGGGAATCCCAATATCGAGGATCAAATATATCAGGCTGAAAGGAATCATTAACACCCGCAATTGGTGAAGTGTTCAAGTTAACACCAGTACTATTGGCCCCAATGTTATCAGCATTGTTATCCATTTCAATGTTTGTGTTATCAATAAGAACTTCCTCGATCCAACAATATTTTATGTCTCTATCTGACCATCTCTAGGATCATTGTCATCATTATTATCAAGTGTAGTTCCCTGTCCCTGACCAAGTGATTGATTATCGGTGGACACTTATGACTCTTTTCTAACAAATTTATCATAGCACCCTTTTGAGATTGAGTTGAATCCTCTATTCTTTGTTTTTTCTTACGCTTTTGGTAACCAGACCGGTTTGCAGAAGACATGACTACAATCTTGGATTGGAACACTAGATAATCTAGAACCAGAACAAAGATAACTGAACACCTAGATGGATCAGTATTATATTAGTCATCACCCATCAACATTGATTAAAATATTGAAAATTAACCGGACCAGATTAGTATACCTGGAGCGATCGATCACAATTGACAGACCGATTGGCAAAAAGGAAGTCTTCTACAGTTGTACCGGTGCCGATCCTGATTCCCGACGCCGCGGATGCGCTGCGCACCGCCGGCACCGGCGATTGGTGAAGAGGAAGCAGGGCCACACGCCCACACGTAGCGCACCGGAGCCGACACGCGCTGCGCCACCAGCGACGTGACTGCACACTGCACGGCCGACGCGCGACGGATGGAGTCCTGCGATACGACCTAGCACTAGCGGTCTGAGCGTCTGGCACCTACGCGGCACCAGGGCCTATACCCTATAGAAGTCAGTCTGGTTGGTGGGCCCCTTCAATTTGGGGGCCTGTTCCATCGAACCGCTTGCACACCCATGGGCTCGGCCCTGGAGGACCAAACACCGGTCGACATCTCCTCGTCGCCGGTATGCCTGCTAAAATTCCTCCATATACCCGCCGTCGCCATGCCGTTGGTGACGAAGTCCGCATTGCCGTTGTGGACGTGAGCACCGATGGCACAAGAAAAAACATAGAAGGTCGGAACACCGGCACATAGGATGCAAAAATTGAAGGAATCATTGCCAGCTTCCGAACCCGCACAAATGACGCCATCGGCATGCATCACAGACACAACGGACACCGCAAAGACCACGCCACCGCCAACAGAAGCGACGGCAGAGGAGCTCGGGAGGAAGCAAAAGAACTCACCTCCAGCACTGCACCGAGGTCGAAGGATGACACCCGCAACCGAGCCGGAGAAAAGAAACGGCAAATCCCTGCGAACTGCCATGGGAAGATTTATTCTAGGTTAAAAGCTATCCTAAGGCCTATATACACCGCACGGTTAAGATCCTCGATCCCTCATCCACACGAGGCCAAGAAGACCCCTGGAGGTGAGGGAATCGAGGAGCTCACCGGCGGGAAGAACTGGAATCGGCGACGATCTCCTTTTTGCCCGATCTCTACTGTAGCGAAGAAGATCAAGGCCAATTGGGCCGTGGGCCTCTGTCCTGCTCGTAGTATATACATAGTAAACCGTAGAAGTCTTCGATCGATTACACAAGAGTATTGTGAAAACATAATGCGAGAGCACCATGTGCACTGTACGAATGCAGCACATAGCATCATCTCCTATGCTTGCTCTAAAAAACGTACATCATCTCCTAGGCCAAAATAAACTAACTGTCCGTCAACGATCTCCTAAGGTAAAACTAGCAAAACGGAGCAGAAAATAAACATCACGTTTCTGCTGTTTATTACGTATACATACGTCGCCACGTCGGCCAGTTCATCAGTTCGTCGGAAATACAGTGCAACTGTGCAAGCACTCCACAGACCACAGGCCGTACACTTGTGTGTGCCTCTAGAAGGGTGGCAGCAGACGCTAGATGTTGTTGGATCGAAGAAGAGCTTGGCTGGCGATATCTATGCTGACGCATCGACTATATCACCATATGCATCATTCAGACCAAAAAGGGCAAGAACAGAAAGGAATAAGGATGGCTACAACTTACGAGAAACTAGGGATCTGATCACACTGTATACACATCACAGGAGGAGTGCAAACGTAGTGACTGTAACAGTTCTGCAATAATTTCAAAACAAACAGCATTCTATTTTCTTCAATTAGCTGAGAGCTGCAGCGACAATCTCCTCCCCACAGGTGTAAAAGGTTAACGTTTTTCCACGTCTCCAGCAGAAGCATACAAACGGTTTTCCAAGTTACATAGAAACTTGGCAAATTTATATAGCTTTGAAGTAACTCAGTATATGGAAAGCGGCCATCACAATAAGTTCCTTGAACACACAGTCATTCCAACCAGCAACCCAAATATACAAGAGAATACCGACAAGTCCATCTTAAGCACCAAATAAGTAGCAAGCTAAGAAGCCAGTTCCCCATCCACTGCGATCGGTAATATCAGTGCTTATTAGGGTAGGGGTGGTAAGGATGGTGATAGCCAAACGCAAATTCTCCAGGGTCCGGATGCAGCGCATGGGAGCGACAATAGCACATTTCACAGACTTCCGCCATATTGTTATGTCCACAAGCAAATATCTTCTGTACGCCAGGACGTGGAATACCAAATCGACAGTAGCATGTCTTGCAAAAGGAATCCACTGCAAAGAAAACACAGGAAGGCAAGCAATATCTAAAATGAGTATAGTGAACGATCCTGAGGTCTCTGGTGTGTGAGAGGATGGGGAGGGGGAGGGAGGGGCGGGGTTCATACATTTGCCACTAGTACGTGTAGCCCACCAAAGAGGGTAACCCAAGACACTGTAGGCTGGTTCCTCTGAAAACAGAAGGATCAGCAAAAATTAATTTATACAGAAAGCATTAGAATGTCACTAATGAGGTTTATATATACCAAATAAATACACCATACAGACTATAACTGTCAAATGCATCATCATATTCATTCATGATCTATGATAGCACGGGTCCTAAAATATGCACAAAGGTGGAACCGGGGCATTCAGCGGTAGCCTTTTTCTGCAAACGCGGGAGGGTGCTATGGTATTTCCCAGTTTTTACCTACACTTGGCACTAGCAAACGAGATGCATGATCTTCCAGCGAATACATACGAGAAACTAGAAGAGAAGATGCATCGAGCTATAGAGAAGTAGACCATACCTACGGGGGTGCATGTAACAACTCCACGGAAACCATTCATGTAAGCAAGCTCGTAGAAGAAGACAGACCGTGGAGCAGTAAGGAACGAGAAGACACCAGAGCCCTTCTTCCGAGCCACGAAGTTCCCATGGGTCCAGCAAATGCCATTGTGCAAATGGGGATTCCGGGACACGTTGCCAAGAACAGGCTCATAGTCATTGCCCTGACTCAAAACCAATCCAATCATTCACGGAGTAAGGAGCAAGTGTATATACCAAGATAAAAGGGGAAAAAACGCAAGTATACAGATAGGAAGTAAATTCCCTCGAAGATCCACTAACTGGTTTCCGTGTGTCAAACTGAAACAATTACTATGGTACTCCCTCTCTCCTTTCAAAATTATAAGATAAGATGTTTTGGCTTTTCTAGTACATTGTTTTTGCTATGTATCAAGATATAGTGTATATTAAGTACGTAACAAAGTTTTATATATCAAAAAAGCCAAAATACCTTATAATTTGGAATGGAGGGAGTATAAACCAAATTCAGAGCGGCAGTTTATCGTACATTGACACATTTAATGATCCGTGCACGCGATGCATATGCAGAGTAGGGTTAGGCAAGGCACGAACCGGATGCTCACGGTTGTAGTGGTCCAGGCAATCCTTGACAAGCTGGCGATCCATAGCTAATTTCTCGAAGCAGCCCGGCAATCCTCGTCTTCAATAGAAGAGAACGACATTGAAGAACACAAGCGAAATCGAAAACAGGATTCAGATGGAGGGCGGTGGAACGAGGGGTTACCGTTGAAGAATGTCGATATCTTCGAAATCCATCGGCTGATTGGGGCGGATGCGGATGAAGTTGGGATTTATTCGAACCAAGAATTGGCGCCACAGCCGCGCGAGGCGCGAGAACCACCCAGCGAGGCCCGGGAACCACCGCTTGGGTGGTGGCCGCGAGGGTATCAATCCAAGGCTGGTCATCTTCTCGGTGTAGTCGAGCATGTTGCGGCGGAACTCCTCCATCTTCACGGACGCCGCGGCGAGGGCGGCGGCGTGCGGGTCCATGGCATCCGGCGCTGGCACGACTGAAGACGCCGCGGCGACGGCGACGGCGGCGGCGCGGGGGCCAATGGCATCCGGCGCTGGCACGACTACGAAGAGGGGAGTAATCTCCGTCTCCGTGAACGTGGCCATGGCTGCTCCGATCCGATCGGCTGTGTTCGGTTGTCTGGTTCGGTTCGTATAGTTGCTGTTTCGGGATGATGTACTGCTGTGCGTGAGAAAAAAATACTGTTTTGACTAAAAATTTATGATCATTTACGATAAGCCACAACTAAACGAATAGGCTGAGGGCGACTCCGGGGGAACGAAAAAAGACGATGGTTCTTCTTCTTCCCTTCCTTACCCCTTTATTTATCTTATTATTTTACTTCTAAATAAAACGGACCGGAGACGGCCCAAACAGACAGCCCACCCATGACCATGAGGCCATGATCCAACCCAAGCTCGGATGGTTGCGCGGCGGCAGCGGGCTGACGAAGTAGTCGGGGACAAAGACGAGCCCACCGCCTTTTCTCCACCAAAGCCCGGACCCGAAGCCTGAAATCTTCTTCCTTCCTCCTACTTCATGCACCTCGCGCAATCAAATCAAAATAAAAAATAAAAAATAGAATTCCTCTGCCTCGGTGGCCTCACTACTCCTCTCCGCCGCACTTCCTCGCCGTAATCCTAGCGAAGCGCGGAGGCCGACGACGAGCTCACCGCCCTGCGCCGCCGCCCTCCTCCGTCTGTCTGTTTATCGTCAGGCGCTGCTACCTTTGCTAGGTATACTTACAGTAAAACCCTCACAAAACCCTCTTCTCTCTCGTTTGGAGCGCGGCGAGCTTGGGCGCCTCCCCGGGCTCGCCGAACTCGCCGAACCGCATTTGACGCAGTAGATGAGGGGAGGCCGAGATGGGGGAGGGGAAGCAAATTGCTCCGTGATTAGGTAGAAAATGCGGATTTCATCAGGGATCGTTAGCAGTGTGCGATTTGATCAGGGTTCTTCCAGTGCTGGGTATTCTCGGACTCGATTCGTCTCCCTCCACCAGTGGGAGAATAATTTTTAGGGCCCTTTGGAACACGGGAAAGCAAAATCACAGGAATAGGTAGGAATATCATAGGAATGTAGTTTCAAAACAGAGGATTGGAAAATAATGGAATTTTGAAGGAGTGATGATCATTTGGATAGGCATAGGAAAAACATAGGATTTCTACCAAGACGCTTTGAGTGGATGTTAGATTTCCTGTACTTTTCCTCCAAAACAGCAGTCAAAGGAAAATTTTCTACACTATTCCTATACTCCATTCCTATGAACCAAAGGCATGAACAGTAGAAATTCCTTGTTTTCCCATCGGTACTGCTCCCAAACCTTCTGATGCCTGCTTTTCCAGAATGCATCGGTACTATTCAATATCTAGCTTTCGCAATAACTGTCGTACATTTTTGCACTTGAAAAACAAATGCTCATCAAAACCTGTTGCACATTCCAACCCTCTGGCATTGGGCCACCCGAGAGGACTGGTTCTCCCCGACCACATCCCAAAATTCTTTATAGAAGAGTGACGGCATCCTATAAGGCCATGGAGCCTTCAGATCACCAATTGCGTCAAGTGCCTGTTTTACTTCATCGATACTAAACTCTTTCACAAGCATAGCGTTCATCTCATTTGTCACTTTTCTCTGCATGCCTAGGTCAATGGAGGACATAAGGTGGAATGAGCTTCTCCCCGGTCATGCCAGCTCCTTCGGCCCAGTTGTCCCATCTGCTGCCTAAGGGTTTCGGTGGGTTTGTTTGATCTCTGCTGTTCCTTATACACGCCGGGTTGTCCCAATTCTGCTGACATTCCTTTCTCTTTGCAGAGGGGTCGTGTGCGCTGCACGCGTATTCCGAGACGCTTACTGTCATTCTGCGCAGGTTACTCGCCTCGGACGATATCTGTGTTGACCTACCAGAGCTGCTACGGGTGTGCCTAGAGAAGGGGGACCTCAGATCCACAGGTACTTCACCCAAGAGGCTAAAGGACTTTGTCAACTCCGCCAATGGAATACCGCTGCAGGGATCTCTCCCTGATCACTTTGTGCTGATGGGCGACCGGCGTGACCAGGTGGACAACCACCTTGGCGACATCTCTGCAATGGGCAGCAAGCTGTCCTGCACACCAGCTTCTCCGCTCCCTTTCGGTAGCCCAACCTCTGAGCAGGCTGAGGCTGCCATGACTTACCGAGAGCAGCTGTGCTCTATCTTGCAGATATGCCCAGTGGTCATCTGCTATCCTCTCCAGGAACACTATGGGGAGCCTCGGAACGAGGGGGAGCCCTATCGCCAGCTTGAGGGGGAGCCCTACATAGACAACATGCCGTGGTGGTACCTGGGACTGTTGGGCACTCGACCAGTTCATCATTGCGTGACAGCGTTTGGCTATGATTGCCCAGGTGGTGATGTCCGTACAATGCGTATCCATTACCAGGAGAACGCAACTGGGGCCCCCGACGACCAGCCTGGGCGGCACGTAATTGACCCAGACGCAGTTGAGTAGTACTATCTTCCTCTAGTCGACACTATTTGCTTCCGCAACAGGCCCGTTGATCAGTGACAAGAGTTGCCTAGGACGTAAGCGCCTATAATCATGTATTGGCCAGAGATCCCAATACTCAAACCTTGTTGTTGGCTTTATTTTTCGTCTTTACCTTGATTAGGCTGTTTAGATTGCTTCATCTACAATACAATTGAACTGATGGAGGTTACTCCGCAAATGAGAAGTCGAGTGGGATTGGTGATGGCAGGTCACCCAGTGCTGAAAGTTGTGCCACGAACTTATTGCTGCAGTAAATTTGCCTTGAAAAGTATTTTTTTATATGGAAGTGCGCTTTTACTACTTCTGTAAGCATTGTATGGCAAAAAATTTAGCCAAAGTCAAGTTGCTTCGGGGACATCGATCGATATCCAAAACATCACATATAGTATGTGACTGCGGAGGCAGTATTTAAGTCAGTATTTCGTTTCATTTTGCCTTTACTGTCATTTTGGAAGTATAGGAACACTGGAAACAGATGAAACAAGGAATGAGATCAACTTATGCACTTGTTGGCCTTCGCCATTGCTTTCGTAACACTGATGACTAGTCTTTCACCTAGGAACCTGGCCTACCTCTTTGCGTCTCTCGTTGTAGAGACTCCACAGTCCACATGACAGTTGAGGTCAGTGCAACCTTGTCAGGGTATCAGTTAGGTTGTGTTTAGTTGTAGGAATTTGGATTTTGGGGCTACTGTAGCATGTTCGTTTTTATTTAGCAAATAGTGTTCAAACATGGACTAATTAGGCTCAAAACGTTCGTCTCGTAATTTTCCACCAAACTGTCCAATTAGTTTTTCTTTTCGTCTACATTTAATGCTCCATACACGGGCCGCAAACATTCGATGTGACAGATACTGTAGCAAATTTTTGGAAGTTAGGGTGGAACTAAACAAGGGCTTATTATGGCATAATGTGCCGGTTTCTAGCTTCGAAGAAAGTATGGATTGAATGATGATACCTTGACCGTGGCAAAAAAAAGATTTGCTGATTCTTTATTGCCTCAATTGCAAAGATGTTGAACCCACATTGATCTAAACGAAACAAAGCTTGTTCACTGTTCTAAACGAGGAGGTTTAATCTGACGCAGTCTCAAAAGAGCAGAGTTTTGGGAGCAATGTCATCCTCTTTGCCTATTCTGCCAAATCCCGCAGCCCGCCACGCCGCCTGCCCGCGCTAGCCGGCCGTCAACCGTAACTGAAAGGAGTCGTCCACCTGACGCCGCCCGCCTCCTCGACAACACCCCGTTTCGCTTCGCCTTCCCCTCCCTCCTTCCTCGCTCCCTTTATTCCTATCGGCGCTCGGCCACCTTCCCGCACCACCAACCCACCACCCGCCCCCGCATTCCTGGGTGCCTCGCTTCGCTTTGCGCGCGATTCGATCCAGGCTTTGGCTGGAGGCAGGCATGGCGTCGTCGCCCGCGAGCAGCTACGACTGCTCCTTCAAGGTCCTGCTCATCGGGGACTCGGCCGTCGGCAAGAGCAGCCTCCTCGTCAGCTTCGTCTCCGCCGCCCACATCGACGATGACATCGCGCCAACCATAGGTACGCGCGCATCCGCTGCTCCTAGCTATACCCCGGTGGATCTCGCCGCTGCGTGACTCCTGTGCGAACTGCCAAGCGTGGCGGCTGCCTTGTCCGTCTCGATTAACGGAACACGACACGACAGCAATAGATTGTTCCTTTTTGTCCCAAGCGGAGAACTGGAGGTTACTACTGGGCCGCGTTGCTGTTAGTAGAGTACAAGTAATAATACAGTAACGTAATTACGTTCGTTGTCAAATGCTCTTGCAATTTTTGGGAAGGGGTGAAGGGATCACCACACACTGAAACGTGCCAAGGCGTTGCCCACTAGCAGAAACTAAGGCTAAGATACTTCTCTGCTTTACTGATTTGAGTAGCAATCATATTCACAGGTGCTACCAATTTTTTCTGTGCACTCGCTATTGATCAAAGCCTGAAATACGGCACTAAGCAGTAAGCACTCACATTACCGGCAGGCGGCTCACGAGAAAAATGAAAGTGACTATTTTGGAATGCTTCTCACAATGGATTAGATATTTCCTGTGATTTCCAAAAGCAATCATTGTGGAAAACACGAGAGTGCATGTTTGATGTCTTTTTTTAGCCGTGGTAAAAACTTCGAAACGCTTTTGTAATTGATAATGTGCAAACCTCCTATATCTTCACTCTGCATAGAGGCTTATCATCTAAGGTTTTATAATTATTGTTTCTAACAGCTTTTAACCTTCCCCTAACTTTTAGTCTACCTTTTATTAAGATAATAGGTTGGCTTCCTTCTGTCCCAACTTTTTTTTTCGAAAGGTGGGAAAAAACTTTTGCCGGATTTTTATTAGAGGATAGAGAGGGAAAAAAAAAGAGGTGTTACAACTTTTTTACAAGCCCAGACTCAACTCTACTAGACCCAACCACCGTATAGAGAAGTAAAAACAAAACGTAGCTGAGTAAGAGAAGGAAAAAACGAAATAAAAATAAGGCACTACTGTTGAGCTTCCGTCCCAACTTTTTTTATCCTGTCAATTCAAGCCGTCCACATGCCGTACACTTGTGTGCGCCTCTGAAAGGACTTATTAAGTCCTGTTTAGATACCACCCAAAATTCAAAATTTTTCAAGATTTTCTATCACATCAAATCTTGTGGCACATGCATGGAGCATTAAATGTAGACAAAAAGAATAACTAATTGCACGGTTTGTCCGTAATTGGCGAGACGAATCTTTTAAGCCTAAATAGTTCATAATTGAATAATTTTTGCTAAATACAAATAAAAATGATACAGTAGCCAAAAGCCAAAAAATTTTGTATCTAAACGGGGCCTTAACCTTCATCTCCCTCACCACCGACAAATCACTCTGTCCGTTGCACTGTTAGGGCAGCTCCAGTGTTGGGCCAGAAGCGAACCGAGGGCAGCTGAAACCGAACCATGCACATTGGAGCATCAGATTCAAAAGCGAACTCCAAACACGGTTCGGCTGCTGCGGCATAGAATATTGGGTGAGATCTCAACAGACATGTAGATGGTGGACCTCACACCTAAAAAGCACTAGCTCAAAATGATTCTTTATTCAATGTCAGAACAAAAATCGATGTTCACGCTGTGGTGGCTGAGCAGTAAAAAGGTCCATCGAACTTTGCCTGCCCCGGTTCGAATACGACGCTGGAGGTGCTCTTATAGCCACACTCCAGCATGCACCCGAGCGTAGCCAACTCGACGATGCAACTGGTGAGGCATATTCGATCTTTTTCAATCTTATATTGCCCCCCAACTTTCTTCCTTCTCGAAACTGGTTATACCATTCATGCGTCAATTCAATTTACTTCATTCATCTGCAGCACAAACTGGTTGTTTTCTTCTTCCTCAGGATTCTAATAATCGAACCCGTTTGTTTAATTTCCCTAGCCGGCCCAGTCTGCACGGAAAGCCGGCGGCAATGCTCGGTCGCGCCGGGCTGTCCAATCGAAGGGGCCGTGCCCGTGTTCGCTGCGGAACCTCGCTATCCTCGCCGTGGTAGCATGGACCTTCTTCCTCTACCTAGACTTCTCGGTGATCAGCGGCACGGCGGAGGTGAGCAACTGCGGTGACCCGTGCCGGGGACGGTACATCTACGTCTACGACCTGCCGCCGCGCTTCAACACCGACATCATCCGCGACTGCCGCGAGGCCGGGGGCCGCTGGGGCGACATGTGCGCGTTCCTGAGCAACGCCGGCCTTGGCCGCCCCCCTCACCGACGACGGCACGGACGGCGGCGAAGCTGGGTGGTACGACACGCACGAGCTCGCGCTGGACGCCATCTTCCACAACCGGATGAATCGGTACGAGTGCCTGACCAACCGCTCCGCTGTGGCCTCCGCCGTGTTCGTCCCGTTCTACGCCGGCTTCGACTTTCTCCGCTACCAGCGGGGCTACGACAAGGCCACCAGGGACGCCGCGTCGGCGGACCTGTCGTTTTGGCTCACGGTACAGCCCCAGTGGCGGCGCATGGCGGGGCGCGACCACTTCCTCGTCGCCGGCCGAACAGGGTGGGACTTCCGGAGGAGCGGCGGCGGCGGCGGCGACGCGAACCCTGACCGGGGCAACGGCCTCCTCCTCAAGCCGGCCGGCCGAAACATGTCTCTGCTCGTGCTGGAGTCCACGCTAGAACACGGCAGCGACTTCTCGGTGCCGTACCCGACCTACTTCCACCCCAGGTCGGACGCCGACGTGCTCCGGTGGCAGGACAGGGTGCGCGGCCAGCACCGGACGTGGCTCATGGCGTTCGTGGGCGCGCCGCGCCCGGACGTTCCGCCGAGGATCCAGGTCCGGGAACGCGTGATCGCGCAGTGCAAGGCGTCCAGCGTCTGCGCCATGCCGGGGTGCGCGCGCAGCTCCGGCAGTGCCCAGTGCCACAGCCCCGCCGACATTATGCGTCTATTCCAGAAGGCCACCTTCTACCTGCAACCACCTGGCGGCGACGACTACTACTCCCGCACGCGACGGTCGGTATTCGACTCGATGGTGGCCGGCTGCATCCCGGTGTTCTTCCACACGGGGACGGCGTACGAGCAGTACCCGTGGCATCTCCCCGAGGACGGCCACCTCAAGTACTCGGTGTTCATCCCGGACGCTGACGTGAGGCGGCGCAATGTGAGCGTCGAGGCCGTGCTCCGGAAGATCCCTCCGGCCACGGTGGAGCGGATGCAGGAGGAGGTGATCATGCTCATCCCGACTTTGTTGTACGCCGACCCCAGGTCCAAGCTGGAGACGATCAAGGACGCGGTCGACGTCGCCATTGACGGGATCCTAGACACGGTGGCGCGGATCAAGAACGGCGAGCAAGTCAATTGTGGCGGGCCGGTGGCCACGGATCCACCGAACCTTTTCGCCGCGACAGCATCAAGGATCGCGCCGAATGGATCGGTGCGAGCAGTTGACCAGCATCGGTAATTTTGAACCGGCGAAGGGATCTGTGTTTTTACAGTAGTATATCTTCGTGTGGTAGCAGTGATCCGCTTTGGCACAGCTTTTGTTTCATCTAGAAAAACAGGTGCAGCCCTAGTGATAGCCGGAGCAACGCCATGAGTTTTCTAAATCCATCAGACCATCTGTTCGTTAAACCAAGGGGATTGGGAGGGATGGCGGGGTATTAAATCCCCTAGAAGTCAAAATCCTTCTCAACCCCCTCCAATCCTTCAATCCGTTTGATTTTGACAACCACCGAACAAGGCATCAGACGGATTATACAATGAAATCATTTCTGCAAGTTGAAGATTGCAAGAATTTGTAAAGAACACAGCTATATCTCATATTGATATGGCCCTGTTAGTTTCGCTGAAATTTGGCTGCTGTTGATGCTGATTTGTCGTGAGAGAAAAATACTGTTCATTCACTTAAAAGTACTGCTGAAGCAGTGCTGAAAAATAGGGCGGATCATCAGTATGCCGATACGATAGATTTCCACTTGCGGCAAAAAAGAAAGAAAGATAGATTTCCAATATTTTGTGTAACGTTCCATTTGGAATTGCTAAAAGATTTGTAAAGTAATCTGAACATGGACATTATATGAAAGGTGAAAATTTTAACTTGAGAAGCAGCACGTCAATTACTTGAACGTTTAACATTTAAACTACTTCCAAGAAAGAAGAGAATTGCTATGACTATGAAAAATGGAAGACATACCTAATTGGGCTGTCCACGCACTTGCAGGGCTATTGCACAGAACGCACTAAAAGGACACCACTTCTCATGCACGCACGGCGCAATATTACAAAGGAGTTGCTATTGTTCCATCAAGTAGCCTTTGCTCCATTTTCCTACACACAGCACGTGCATGGAGCATGGAAGCTTGAAACATCAAATTAAACCAGCACCGGTTCCTTTTTTTTTTAAAGCTGAAGTGTATAAACATAGTCTTCCTCATCTTTGAGTGGGTCCCACTAAATATTGAAAGCATTCATTCCCTCTGCTGTCTCTTCTTGTCTATTGTCACAAATTTTTAACTCAGCCAAACATCTGCTAGAAGAGTAGAAGCCTCCATACCTGATTTTTTTGAAGTGTTGCAATGGTAAACCTCGAGTCTTGGGAAGAAAGATGATACGGATATTCTTTTGTTTTTTTAAAAAGTTGAATATTCTTCGAGGCATCGGTGAAAATCAACGCTGTGGGTAGTCTAAGGACATGTTGACGTACAATCTAAAGTGATGTGCAGTGAATCCAGTGATGGAATGGGAGATAGGTATTGATAGCACATTTGGCTCTCCCATCCCCTCATGTTACTACAGACCGCAACCCTATGCGTGGGACGGATTGACACATAGTGGGAGGTGTTTTCGTGATGTATCTAGTGATACTAATTTGTGTCATAAATATCTAGTGACGATATTTTCTATGAAGTTAGTCAAATTTAAAATAGTTTGACTTAGTTTTGATTTAAGATGGATGAAATATGAATCTAGCATGTGGACCCCTCATGATAGGTCTACATCAACACACGGTGGCATGCCACGTTAAAGCAGGAAGCAGGTCATGACCCATTTAGACCATAGTTATTAGGACCGGACCGGCGGTTGGACCGCTAAAAGACCGAGCCAGAGCCTAAACCGGTTCGGTTCATTTAAAAGACCGTTCGTGTAATCAAACCGGTAAAAACCGGTTGAATTGGCCATTTTTTTATGGAACCGGTGAACCGGCCGATTGCATTCAAACCGCCCCGGTTCCATTCACCATTGCAAACCGGCCATTGTCGGCCGGTTCAACGGTTCCACAAATAACCGGCTGGTTCAACCGGTTTGTACCGGCTCGATTGCACAGACGGTCTTTTGAGTGAACCGGACCGTTCAGGCTTTGGTTCGGTCTTTTAGCGGTCCGATCGCCGGTCCAATCCGGTCCTAATAACTATGCTCGGATGACACCAGCAGCCAAGTCTAGGGACCTAATGATAATACTTTTAAAGTTGTTGACCTAAATGACACTTGGTCTAAATTTAGAAATCCTACAAAATAATAATTTCTAAGCTAGAGGACTGAAATGACACTCTTTACCAAGTTCAATGATCGCTCCCTAATTTTTTTAGAAAGACGGCAAGAGCTTTGTGATTTTTATTAGATGAATAAAAAGAAAAAAAAGAAAAATTACAACCACTAACACAGCAGCGACGTCTGTGCTACTTTTCCGCACTTCGAATATTGATTGCCCGCCCCCAGCGCTACGCTCCCCATGCATAAGGCGCCCGCATATGATCAGCTTACTCAGATGCGTGACTGCCAGAATGAAACAGAGCTAGCTTGCCATATCCCTCCGGAAAGAACCTTGATGCCGTCGAGGCGAAAAGGTTCGGCGGATCCTTGTCCACTGGCCCGCCACAGTTGACATCCTCGCCGTTCTTGATCCGCGCCACCGTGTCGAGGATCCCATCGACGGCGACGTCGACCGCATCCTTGAGAGTCTCCAGCTTTGACCTAGGGTCGGCGTACAACAAACTCGGGATGAGCCTGATCACCTCCTTCCGCATCCGAGCCACCGTGGCCGGAGGGATCGCCCGGAGCACGGCCTCGATGCTCACGTTGCGCCGCCTCACGTCCGCGGTCGGGATGAACACCGAAAACTTGAGGTGGTCATCCTTGGGGAGGTGCCACGGATACTGCTTGTACGCCGACCCCGTGTGGAAGAACACCGGGATGCACCCGGCCACCATCGAGTCGAACACCGACCGTCGCGTGGGGGAGTCGCCCGGAGGCTGCAAGCAGAAGGTGGCCTTCTGGAAGAGCCGCATGATGTTGGCGGGGCTGTGGCACTGCGTGCTGCTGGGTGTGCGCGCGCAGCTCAGCATGGCGCAGGCGCTGGACGCCTTGCACTGCGCGATGACGTGATCCCGGACCCGGATGCTCATCTGAACGTCCGGCCGCGGCGCGCCCACGAACGCCATGAGCCACGTCCGGCGCTGGCCGCGCACCCTGTCCTGCCACCGGAGCACGTCGGCGTCCCACCTGGGGTGGAAGTAGGTCGGGTACGGCACGGAGAAGTCGGTGCCGCGTTTCAGCGTGGACTCCAGCACGAGCACGGACATGTTCCGGGCTCCCGGAATGACGAGGAGGTCATTGCCCCAGTCCGCGCCGAGGTTGCTGATCCTCCGGAAGTCCCACCCTGTTCGCCCGGCAACGAGGAAGTGGTCGCGCCCTCCCATGCGCTGCCACTGAGGCCGTGCCATGAGCCACCTTGTCAGGTCCACCGACGCGGCGTCTCTGGTGGCGTTGTCGAAGCCCCAGTGGTAGCGGGCGAAGTCGAAGCCGGCGTAGAACGGGACGAACACGGCGGAGGCCACGGCGGAGTGGTTGGTCAGGCACTCGTACTGTCTCATCCGGTTGTGGAAGATGGCGTCCAGCGAGAATTGGTGCGTGCCTTACCACCCGTCTCCGCCCGTGATGACACCGCCGTCGTCCGTGCCGTCGTGGGCGAGCGGACGGCCGAGGCCGGCGTTGCTCAGGGAGGCGCAGATGTCGCCCCAGTGGCCCTCATTGTTGCGACAGTCGTTGTGGATAATGTCGGCGTTGAAAAGCGGCGGCAGGTCGTGCATGTAGATGTACCGTCCCCGGCACGGGTCGGCGAAGCGATCCCCGTTGCTCACCTCCACCGTGCTGGTAATCACGGAGAAATGCACGTAGAGGAAGAAGGTCCATGCTGCCAAGGCGAGGGCGGCGAGGATTCTCGGAGGTGGCAATACGTTCGCCGCCGCCTTGATCTCGATCCCCTTCACTTCGACGGCCCGGCGCGATCGAGCACTGCCGCCGCCTTTACGTCCAGATTTGACTAGCTAGGGAAACAAAGAGCATGAAGCAGCATCGGATCGAAGGTCTACGTATCATCCGTTCGAGAAGGAAGAACAAATTAAAGTTGCGGCAAGATCGGATTGGACGATAGAAAATCAAAAGAATATGCGTAGCTCACCAGTTGTACGATCGAGTTGGCTACGCTCAGTTGCATGGTTGAGTATGTGTAGCAATGGATATACAGAGTGATTAATTGGAGAGGAGGAGAAGGCGAAGGTGGAAGCTCAAGTCTATCCAGAGGCAGACGAGCGATGAACTACAATGCACGTACTGTCTTTCCGACGAAACGATCGTCCACACTACTGTGCTCTCTGAAGTTTGGCACTGGACGGGAATACCAATACTGGTCCATCACTCGATCTTCTAGTGCACAGCCCCTCGCTTTGGGACAGCGTACGTTGACAATGGACACTCTGGAGCGTGCAGGATAGCACTCTGCACCTACATGGTCGGCATCAATTAAGTGCATTATTTAATCAGTTGTTTATGTTAGTAATAGCCCCCTTGGTTTCAAAAATTCAAATTATAGCTCCCTTTGTTTTATTCAACGTTAAATTTCTTTAACTCCGATCTAATATATATAGAGAAATGCATTAATATCTAGACATCAAATCGCAGAGAGACTGGAACTTTTCCTCTCTTTTTTTTCAAAAAAAAAAAACTAGAATATCAAGTTAGTTTTTATATTAGATTCTTCATGATATATGTTTTAATAGATCATTTGTTTGAATCTGTAGATGTTAATGTATTTTAAAAAAAAACTTGATCAAAACGAGAGAACTTTGATTTAGGACAAAAACAAAATGAACTATAGTTTGGAACGAGGGAAGTACTCGGTAGAAGATTAATAATACACATACACTAGTTAGATGTTCAACGAAGACTTTTATACATTCTTGGAGTGCTATGTTACTCACTGAGCATATAAGGTGTAATTGGTTGCTTATATTAGCCTTAACCTACATTAGATCTTATGCAACATAACTTAAGCCAATATAAACATATGCAATATTTTTGTGTTTGGTTGTCCTACACAGATCGACAAGTTGTGTTGGCAAAGATCGTGTTTGGTTGCTTACATTGTGTTACATATACTTACATGTAGTACCTCCATGTTCTAATAGAGCCAGAGGTCACATGTTCTAATTGAGATGATGAGTTGAGAAGATTTTATTTCTTTGTGTGTCCCATCGGCTTGTGCAAATCCGTATTGTCTAATATGACCATGCATATTTCCTAATATGGCCAGCGGCTAAACTGCACCACAAATTCTGGAGACATGCTAATGCATACAACAAATAGACTCAATTTCGGCACATGCAGATTGGTCTATCATTATGTCCACCTTTTCTCAGATTATTTTCTGCTGCATCAGTAGCTAATTTTAGCATTAGGAGATCGTTGATGGACAGTTATTTTATTTAGCTTAGGATGCATGAGAGATGGTAACACATGCCGATCTAACATTAATCTGTTTTCACGCGAGACTTGGTTAGTTGCTTCGAATAGTTTGCGAGGAGGTGTAGTCGCAGACTTTTACGGTATCATCACTTGCTAGATCCCGCACACAGCTGGTTGATTCAAAAACTAGAGTTGAAGGAGTTGAACATGCATGTGGTAAACTAATAGCAAATGTGACAATACTATACTGGTAATTAGCAGCGGTTAAATCGAGAGAGTGTGCATACACTTGCATAGCTACGGCCTCCTCTCCACATGTTAACGTGGTTTTCTGACACTGGGTCCCGTAAACAAAGCTCCTAGTGGATCGTTGCATATTCTGCTAGCAACTTGCTGGGTGGCTAGTGGCTACGCAGCACGTCGGGCGCCTCAGCTTATTTCGTCCAATGAGGCAATGATCCAGAGTGATGCTGCTGATACCGAAGCTGTGTGCTTCGAATCTTCTATCGAGAAACCGAAAGCTGGTCGGACGGACTGTGCGCAGCACTAGATTCGAAGGCCCGTTAAGATCTACTAGTAGCTGATTGGTTAGGACTCTGCAAAACCAAATGTTAATGGAATTGATACGGCTGTGATCTGAATAAATATAACCTAAAACTGTGATTGTTTGGTTCGCATTAGTAATGGAAAGAGAAACATTGGTCGCCACCCTCCTCTTCTCGCTGACTGCTCCTCCGTCCGGCCATGCCACATCTAGCTTGTCTCCTGCCCAATCAACACTTTTTCAGTCAAGCCAAGCTAGCTTTTTCCTTACCTGAATATAATCAATCTTGTTGCGGCTCAAATCGGTCTTGTGGTCATCCGTTTCTACATCGCTGCTACTGGATGGACCGCTTCCATGGATGGCGGGACAGATTGGAAAATTAAGAGAGAAAAGGGCATGTTTGGAAGGCTGGTTTTCAAACCAAAACCAGTGTAAATACATGCTTGGAAACTTTTACAGGTCAGATCTTTGAGTGCCCTTCCCATTTATTCTAGTGTGACCATAAGTCTTCCCATCTATCCTAGTATGACCATAAGTCATAAGTTTTAAGTTGTGTTTGTTTCAACTTCTGGAAAGTGCTTCTGCTGTAAAAAAAACAGAAAGCCTATCAAATAGGTAGAACCATAAACAACTTTTTCCAAAAGTAGCTGTTTTCGCGTAGTATAATTTTCACAGCACCTTAGACCATACTTTTAATTTTCAACTTTTAGTTTTTTTCTAAATGGATGGAAATAGAGAGGCATTTTACAATAGTTTCAAGAGAGATAAAGAGATATGTGTAGGTTTCATAGTTATTTTAACCAAACAACCTACAACTTTTTCACAGCACACGATTCATGCATAGCAGTTTTTTGAAAGCTCACAGCTCTCACAAGAGCTTTTTCACAGCTAATAGTTGGAGTGTTCAACCAAACAGGCCCTTACTGGAGTTGCTCTTCTTATAGGTTAGATAAAGCTCGGCAAATTTACTTAGGATGCTAATTTAGTTTCTTAGTGAGTCCCTTCTCAAGGGCATAATTAGTATGGTGCGCCTAAGAGTAACTCCAGCGGGCTCCTACTTGAGCCTCCTAGTTAAATATGGATGCCTAGATCAAAAACATGACTCTAGGAGCACCCTACTACGTACCCCAAATTTGTTGGGGCCACCGAAATCCACCCCAGGGCCAACAATCTGTTGGGCAGCTTCAGCCCCCGTCTGGTCGTTGCTTCTGTTTCTTGACCAGCGGTCACAAGGAACTCCCTCCGCTCCGGCGACCTCCCCTAGCCCGGTGACCCTCCGGCGAGCCACCTTCCCCGTCGAGCGGACACGGACCTCCTCCCACTCCCACTTGCCCGTCCGCCTCCCTACTCACGCGGTGCAGTCCGCCTCCCAGTTCGCGCCGCCACGCCTGAATGCTGCTCTGCTCGCGCTGCCCTGCTCGCGCCGTCCTACTCGTGTGGCCAGGCGGAGCTCGTCCCACGGTGGAGCACCGCCCTGCTCGCGTGGCCTCCTCCACGGCACGGCCTCCTCCCCGGCTCGCGGCCTCCTTCTCGGCGTGCCCTCCTCCCTGGCGCGGCCTCCTCCCCGACGCGACAGATGCGACGACGCAGTAGGCCCTCACGACCGGCGGCGTGGATTTGGTCTTTCCGGCGCTGTGGATTTGGTCTTCCCGGCGACTCCTACAGTCCCCGCTGCTCCGAATCGAGGTCTTCTCGACGGCTTCTACAATCCCCGCTGCTCCAAATCGAGGAGTTCGGCTCCTCCCCTCCGTCCCCAGGGCCATCGCCGTCCTAGGACCGCCGGTCGATCCTTCGCGCCCACGCCCGCCGCTCGCACGATGGATAGAGGAGTTCAGCGCTTGTCGAGCCCCTCCCTTCCTCTGTTCGTGTTGCAATAGATTAGATGGTAAAACATTGAAGAAGACAAATGGGTCACAGTTGTCATTGTGTATTAAAAGGATTTGAGGGCTTTGTTTCGAGGGCTCTTGCTGGAGCAGATACAAAATAGAGGGCCAATAAAAATAAGGATGAGCATCTAGATCGAAAATGAGGGCTACTGCTGGAGTTGCTCTAAGGACTTTCTAGTGTGATCCTTTTAGTCTTAGGTGCGTGAAAGTGGGTGAAATAGTTTTGCATAGGATGAGGTGGGTACCTAGCTAATGATGTTTTTTGGGTCCTTTAACTAGCAAGAATGCAACACACATTTTATTAAACATTTAGGGATATCAACAAGGATGCAGGTGGGTACCCAATGATGTTTTTTTGGGTCAACTAACTAATCATGGCCAAATGCCATTATAGTTCACCCCCCCCCCCTCCAATTAAATTACGTGAAATGTCATTCTAGTTCATTTGAGCAAGTTTTTTTTTATCGAACTAATGACCCAAAGTAATTAGAACTTGCATCCCTAGATATCAGCCTTTAGCGGAGTTGAAAACAGGTTGAGGAAAATATTATAACCTTGGAAGGGAAAGAACATGGCATCAGGAGGTACATTGATCTTAACAAACACTTCTTTAAGTTACCTTTCCCATTTACATAATGGGGATGTATATGCTATACTATATGAAGGAACTCACCAACAGATGAATACCATATATAAAACCCAAATTCTTTTAGCAAGAGACTAATGACAGGTTTAGATATCACATGATGAAATGGGATTATTTATGTATTCCTAAAGATTTTGGTGGCCTAGGGATCCCGAACACTAGAATCTCGTAAATGAAGCTCTATTATGAATTTATACAAATGGGTGTGGAGGTTATATAAGGAGGGGGGAGAAGACCTATGCTACAATTTGTTGAAACAGAAATATCTATAAAATAAAACTTTGGCTCAATGCAATAGTTCTACATGCTCATGGAAAGGAATAAACAAAATCAATATAGCAGAAGTTAAAAACGTGAAATGTCATTCTAGTTCATTCTAGCATATAACTTTGCTAAAAAAAAGGAGGATTTGGTGTTCCTGGATGACAAGTTACATATCATGGAGATGTGGCTACTATACTTTTGGCACAATAACCGCAAGATGACCATCGATGAAAGTGGAAGGGCTATTTTAAAGCTTGCATGTCTTGTTTCTTTTGTTGTAGGGAGTTTCTTTTAAGTTGTTGGATAGTTTCTTGATGCTTTTAATGTTGAATGCATTCATGCCAGTTGCATATCATGTATTGTTATGGAGAGTTCTCAAATTGTGTCTAGACATCGAAACTTAGAACTAAATCATTTTTTGGAAAGCTTCTAGAGATACTTTCATAAGTTCCAAATATTTTATTTGAGTTACCGTCTCCCAATCTATCTCCAAGACTTTTTTTCCTGAAATTTTAGAAGTTTAAAGACATTTGTATAGTTTAAAAACCTTATCAAAGATTTACCATATTTTTAAACTAGGAAATGATGAAACCACTTTAAAAAACACTTATAACCGGCACGGGAAGGTATGTTAAATGGTTCAAGGAGGTATTTTAAATAGTTAGATATTTGAGAGGGCAATATATCTAATTTTAGAGTTTGAGGTAAGAGAATTTTTTCAAAAATAAACATTGATGTACCTTCCAATCTAGTGTCGCCTCTGGATCATTGGTCCAATTGATCTTAAGTGTCTTCTCCCAGCATCTCATGGCCGACGTGTTGCATGGCAAGCAAGTTGCTACCAAAATAAGGGCTTGTTTGGCTGCACATAAATCAGGATGGATTTATGTGCAGCCAAACAAAGCCTAAGCAAGTGCATCTGTGTCACTGTGTGTGTATGTACGCTCTCTCGATTAACCACCGTGAATTACCGCACAGTAGTATCCCATTTGCTATTTGTTTATCTTGCTCAACTCACTAAGTTACACTGTTACTGGGCGCAGACTAATGTTAGAGCGCCACGTGCAAGTACAAGTGCAGCGCAAATGTCATCATCGCCTATTCTTATTCTCCCAAGCTAAATAAAAATTAGCTGTCAGTCAACAATCTCGAACCTTCTAATGTTAAACTAGAAACTGCCGCGGCAGAAAATAATTCGTCGAAAAGGTGGGTGGACAGAATGATAGATCGATCTGCATGTGCAAACTCAGGCATCGTCTCTTCTCCACACAGTTGTACAACAGTACAAGTCGTCATTGACCAGCTCACACAGTACTCATATTAGCCTTCTGTACCCAGTACTTATATTAGAGAAACAACTGAACAAACAATAAACCCGTAAGATAAATAATGCAATTAATTGATGCCGACCGTGTAGGTGCACAGAGTGCTAGTACGCTGTAATCCCCATTGTCAACGTAACTGCCACGAAGAGGGGTTCTGCATTAGAAGATCGAGTGATGGATCAATTCATCAGCGTTGGTATTCCCGCTGAACAACTTGCTAAACCGTTGAGACTTGAGAGCACATGTGGACGGTCAGTTCATCAGAGAGACATCACTACTACATCAGTGCAGGCAGGCCACAGGGAGTAGCTCATCGCTCGTCTGCCTCGGGATAGCTTTCTCCGATTCCGATCCTCCTCTCCAGTTTAATCCCTCTGTCCATCGCTACACATATCGTGCACTGCTGTAGCTACTACATTCCGACATGAAACGGAGCGCAGCCAACTCGATCGTACAACTGGTGAGCCATATTCTTTTCTATACTACCGCCCAATCCAATCTTGCCTCAACTTTGTTCGTTCTGGAACTGATGGTAGTCCATGGTCCATGCTCTGCGTTTCCCTAGCTGGTTAAATCTGCGCGCAAAGCCGCCGGCGGTGCTCGGTCGCGCCGGGCCGTCGGGGTGAAGGGAATTGGGATCAGGCGGCGGCGAACGTGTTGCCGCGGCTGCGGATCCTCGCCGTCCTCGGCGTGGTAGCGTGGACCTTCTTCCTCTACGTGCATTTCACCGTGATCAGCAACACGGTGGAGGTGAGCGACGGGGACGGCCTCGCAGCCGACCCGTGCCGGGGGCGGTACATCTACATGCACGACCTGCCGCCTCGTTTCAACGCCGACATCATCCGCGACTGCCGCAAGACCGAGGACCACTGGGGCGACATGTGCGGCTTCGTGAGCAACGCCGGACTCGGGCGTCCCCTCGCTGACGACGACGACGGTGTCATCACGGGCGAGGCTGGGTGGTACGGCACGCACCAGTTCGCCCTGGACGCCATCTTCCACAACCGGATGAAGCAGTACGAGTGCCTGACCAACCACTCCGCCGTGGCGTCCGCCGTGTTCGTCCCGTTCTACGCCGGCTTCGACTTCTCCCGCTACCACTGGGGCTACGACAACGCCACCAGGGACGCCGCGTCGGTGGACCTGATAGAGTGGCTCATGGCACGGCCACAGTGGCGGCGCAAATGGGGCCACGACCACTTCCTCGTCGCGGGGAGAATAGGGTGGGACTTCCGGAGGAGCAGCAACGTGAACCCGGACTGGGGCACCGACCTCCTCGCCATGCCGGGTGGCCGGAACATGACCGTGCTCGTGCTGGAGTCCACGCTGAAATACACCAGCGACTTCTCCGTGCCCTACCCGACCTACTTCCACCCCAGGTCGGACGCCGACGTGCTCCGGTGGCAGGACAGGGTGCGCGGTCAGAACCGGACGTGGCTCATGGCGTTCGTGGGCGCGCCGCGGCCGGACGTTCCGATGAGCATCCGGATCCGGGATCACGTCATCGCGCAGTGCAAGGCGTCCAGCGCCTGCGCAATGCTGGGGTGCGCTCGCACCCTCGGCAGCCCGCAGTGCCACTCCCCCGCCAACATCATGCGGCTGTTCCAGAAGGCCACCTTCTGCCTGCAGCCGCCGGGCGACTCCCCCACGCGACGGTCGGTGTTCGACTCGATGGTGGCCGGCTGCATCCCGGTGTTCTTCCACACGGGGACGGCGTACGAGCAGTACCCGTGGCATCTCCCCGAGGACGGCCACCTCAAGTACTCGGTGTTCATCCCGGACGCCGACGTGAGGCGGCGCAACGTGAGCGTCGAGGCCGTGCTCCGGAAGATCCCTCCGGCCACGGTGGAGCGGATGCGGGAGGAGGTGATCAGGCTCATCCCGAGGGTCCTGTACGCCGACCCGAGGTCGAAGCTGGAGACCGTGAAGGACGCGATGGACGTCGCCGTCGAGGGGGTCCTCGACACGGTGGCGCGGACCAAGAATCCGCCGCCGAGCCTTTTCGCCGCCATTGTATCAAGGTTCCTGCCGAAGGGATCTTGGAAAGCAGCTCTCTAGCTCTGTTTCATTCCACGCAGCTGGTTGGGTAACAAAATGTGAGCGCCTCATCCAAGGCCGCAGGGACCGTGGCGCTGATGGCTGCTGCGGCAGCTCGGAGAGGGGCGATCGGTATTTGAAACGCCGACAACCTGGGCCGGGGTGGCCACAGCGACCAGGTGTTCCGCCGAGCGCGGGGGCAGAGAAGACGTGCAACGTAACTTGATCATTGGGAACGCGATGCCGCTGGCAGCATGCTGTGGGTGAGGCTCGAGGAGCACGCGGTGATCTCTGCGCTTGTGCCTGTCGCTGCAAGATTGACCTGCAACGCTGCGTGAGCTCCAATGCTCCATCCACCTACTCCAAGAAGGCCTTCGGTGCCTGTTGCTTGCCTTGCCCTGCACAAGCGTTGAGTGAGCTTGCTCTCGCTGGTGCTATAGCCTATAGCCCAGTACTCGGAAGATCCATTTTGCTATGCACAAAAAAGAAAAGAAAAGACAAAACGACTTATAATTTAGAACGAATGAAGTACTACATATGACTTCATAACCATCGAGTAAAATAATTGAAGTGGCTCCAATAGTCGTTTGCTGCTTTTATTTGCC